ATGCGTTCTACTAAGTCGCCCTGACAACAAGACCAAGTTGCGACAACGAGGTCAACCCACTTCTATAAAATGAATTTTAATTTGTATGGAAAATGTGGCTTTCGAAGAATCCTTTGATGGACCAATGTCGAAGTATCCTTCATTTTATTCAAAGAGGCGAATCGGAGAGATTCGTAATTTGGCCTCACCGGAAGCTGTAGCAGAATTGTCTTGGAGCTGTGACTGTAGACTTGTGCAACCCCGATGCATCTTGGCTGAGCTTTAGTTCATCATGTCACTGACATCGTCGGATCAGGACCCCATGCTTGACGATAATTTACCAAAGCACGAAGACAAAAAAAGATGATCAGCTTCAAACCTACCTACCTCCTACCTGAAACCGGGCACCTTTCTTGCCCTGATGCTTTGGTGAATTATCGTTAAGATCAGCAAGGATTCATCAAGCTCGCATAGCGGTCCACCGAGACCCTATTCACACAAGCCTACAACCACAGCTCCAAGGCAATCCTGCTACAGTTTCCGACTTACGAATCCCTCCGATTCGCCTCTTCCAACCGAAGGAAAGATAGTCCAACATGAATTTTGAGTCGTTATACAGAAATTGCGTTTTGTCTCTCGTCACTCTGCCGAAAACAATCCGAGTTATGAGATTGACCAGCATTGCCTCATGTTGAGTGTGAGTTGGATCTGTAAAAGAGCCAATCTAGCCTACCTTAACGTGTGGGAAGAGGTTGATTAATTCGCGGTAGAACAGCGCCACCGGTAGATCGACAGCAGCTACGAAGCCGCGCAATAATCTGGTCAGGAGTTTGGTGATCTCGGCCTCAGTACGTCTCTCCTCCTTCTCCTCCTCTTCCTCCTTCAGCCGAGCTCTCGCCATGGACTTGTCGTCAGGCCAGGCCTCTTCATTGGCTTTCGCCAACCGCCAACCCTGTCCCTCTTGGCCGGACGCCAATTTGGCTTGACGACGCTTTCGAGCGACTCGCCGTTGCTTCCTCGCTTCGGCCAATTCGAGCAGACGGATCCATGCCTCCAGATCGGGATCATCAGACCGCAGTGTGGACAGCCGGTAGCACGGCCGGCCGTAGAGCAGCTCAAGCGCGGAGCACAGACTGGTCGTCCCGGTGCCGAAGAGCCCGGCCCCCACGACCAACAGGGGACCATCGTAAGGAGGCGAGTTCCGGGCGTCCCGACTACTGGCCTCGACAGACGCGGTTACCGACGCCAGTACAAGTCACAGATTGGCTGATCCGCAACCCGAACGACACGAATTCGTCGTTTACCGATCCGTTACAATCAACAGTCGCACCGAGCGAAGAGACGAGTCGAACAAACTGTTCCACCCTTCAGTTGACCCTTCGGTTGGACTGGCATAAACCAGAGTCCCTAGGCTGCTTTGGGTAGCAACAGTGACGGATCGAGTGTTCGCAACAACGGCGTGCTTACACTCCGAGTGCACACGATCTTGACTCCAGAGGAGTTGTGCGCATCTTTATAGGCGAGCAAGCTGCCTTCATGCTTGCTGATGCTCGCAGAGATAAATAGCAGATTTCCTGACCCGGATCGTCTGCACACTTGTGATGAGGAGTTGGGGTCAGTTTTTGTGATCAGCTGATCTGTATCACATCTGATCGATGATTTTGGTGATTTCAGTTCAGCCAAACAGGGCTAAAGTTCACTGGACCAATCTCTGTTTCTGCTTGTATCCGCATGCAAGTCGGTGTGCAAGCCTACAAACATGTGAGTGTATGTGTGCAAATTGGCGTAAATGCCCGCCTTGACCGCCAGTTTGTCCGTTTATAGGCCGGCAAACGAAGCTGTGATCAGCTGCGACGGTCAACCAGAGACATGACCTGTTTGTGCAAGTTAAGAGTGTTAAAGTTGCCTTTTGGTGTGAATGTTGGATGGGGCTGAAGAGACGCCCAATCGACGCGATGGCCACTCTGGCCAACTGATGATTGTGAGTGCCCAATGGTACAGAAATTGTATCCGATAGCAAACGGTCAGTCAAGGTGAGTTGACGAGTTGTAGTGGAAGTCTAACTACAATAAAATGAGTCGATTGTACTGCTGGGGAGAATGGATTACAGGCTCGATGCTACCAGAAGACGATGTATGTGTATGTGTGTGTGTGTGTGTTTATGTGTATGTGACAACGACTATACGCAACATCAGTCCTAAATCAGAGTACGTAAAAGAGCTTTCTGTCAAGCTGTGGACATCAAAAT